CACTTTACACTCACTTGGCAGGACAGTAGTACCTCCCTGGGTGGTTGCTATATACCAACCTATTTATAAATAAATAAGTCAAATAAATATGAAATGGTCTAGACTGGAGTGAATCATCATTCAGTTTTCCTTACCTAAGTTCTTTTTATATTGTACCAGCTACATTACAATTTCTAGATTTTGCAATGTAATAACATTGCAATATCTAGATATTTTGTTGTAACTGTACCGTGAAATAGATTTATTTCGGAAACATTAAAGCCGGACATGCAATATTTTTATTACCAGACCATTATACACATACAAAACATGTATTTCTGTAGCTTCATGATGCTTAAATCAACAGAACGATGACAGTGCCATTGCACAAAGTCTGTTGCATGTTGGAGATAGTGGGACGAGGAAAAAATGTAGAGCTCACCAACTTTATACAGTGGAACCCCGGATTTCCGCTGTAATCCGTTCCAGGTCGGCCTAAATCCGAAAAGGCTGATATGCTGTGTATCTTTATACGTATATGCTTCTAAACTGTTGTATTCTAAGCACCTTTGCAAAAACAGTGATAATGTGTGAGTGTGGTGAAAGTGTTGAATGATGATGAAAGTATTTTCTTTTTGGGGATTTTCTTTCTTTTTTTGGGTCACCCTGCCTCGGTGGGAGACGGCCGACTTGTTGAAAAAAAAAAAAATTAATCCATTCCACTCACAAATATTAACAAAAAAATACATTTTTTAAAGATTGACTATAGCTTTACATACACAAACAATGAGAAATAAATATAAAGCACAAATTTTAATAACTGAACATTACATACCTTTACTGAAGACTTGTTGGCATATTGAAGAAGGCAAGGAGGGAAGAGAGGAAAGCTTGTTTCGAAGGGGGATCCCCCTCCATAAGGACTTCAGGTATCAAGTCCCTCTCTTTGGTTACTTCCCTTTTTTGTTTTTTACTGGCACTAGGGCCAGCTTGAGTCACTGTACCCCTGTCGCACAAAAACTGTCCAGAGGTCTGCTTCTGGCATCTCTTTAAGATGTGCTTGAAGTGGGACAAGGTTTTGTTACTGAACTTGTTGCAGATATGGCTTGTTTGAGCTTGGTCAGCGATATTTCTCCACAAAACTTTGCACTCCCTCCACTTTGCACAAATGTCCTTAATCACTGAGGGCTGCACATCTCCCCTCTCTCTTCCTTGTCCTGTGAAGCAATTTCCTCAGCTGTGGGAGACAGCCGACTTGTTGAAAAAAAAAAAAAAAATTCACACTCAGGCCAAACACTTCATGGACCCCGTCAATGAAAATTTGCCTTGTGACCCATGCCTTATTATTAGCTTTCCACAACACACAATTTACTCTTGATGACATTGTTTTTCTTGAACACTCTGGGATTTTCAGAGTGATACACCAGTAAAGACTTCGCTTTGAAATCCCTAGTAGCGCTACAACAGAACAAAATAGCAAGCCTATCCTTCATAGGCTTGTGTCCTGGCAGTGCCTTTCCCTCCTGCATGATGTAGGTCCTCTTTGGCATTTTCTTCCAAAAAAGGCCTGTTTCATCACAATTGAACACTTGTTGGGGGAGGAATCCTTTAGCCTCTATGTAATCCTTGAATTCATACATGAATTCTTCAGCCGCATGTTTGTCTGAACTTACAGCCTCACCATGCCTTACAACGCTGTGTATGTGACTACGCTTCTTGAATCTGCTGAACCAGCCTCTGCAGGCTTTAAATTTACTAACAGCAGCACTCGTTCCAGGCATATTCTTTACGAGATCCGCATGCAACTGCCTTGCCTTTACACACATCATCGACTCCACAACACTATCTCCCGCTAATTATTTATCGTCGATCCACACTATCAATAACTTCTCCGCATCTTCGACTATTGATGATCTTTGTTTCGTTAGCATATTTACCCCTTTTTGGTAGACAGCAACCGCCCAGGGAGGTACTACCGTCCTGCCAAGTGATTGTAAAACGAAAGCCTGTAATTGTTTTACATGATGGTAGGATTGCTGGTGTCTTTTTCTGTCTCATAAACATGCAAGATTTCAGGTGCATCTTGCTACTTCTACTTACACTTAGGTCACACTACACATACATGTACAAGCATATATATACACACCCCTCTGGGTTTTCTATTTTCTTTCTAGTTCTTGTTCTTGTTTATTTCCTCTCATCTCCATGGGGAAGTGGAACAGAATTCTTCTTCCATAAGCCAAGCATGTTGTAAGAAGTGACTAAAATGCCGGGAGCAAGGGACTAGTAACCCCTTCTCCTGTATAAATTACTAAATTTGAAAAGAGAAACTTTTGTCTTTCTTTTTGGGCCACCCTGCCTCGGTGGGATACGGCTGGTTTGTTGAAAGAAAGAAGAAAGAAGATTTACCCTTTTTGCAACACTAACTTCCTTGATTTCTACTTTCTCTGCCAGGATGGAAGTGACTGTTGATTTGGATTTCCCATACATCCTGGACAGCTCCAGGACATGTACACCACTTATGTACAGTGGACCCCCGCATAACGGACAATCCGCATAGCGGACGCTTTGATCGCTAAAATTTTGCCCCGCATACCGCCCAAAAACCCGCTCAGCGGCCTTCGTCCGAGACGCGTCCAATGTGCGGCCTGAGCCACGCTCACATGTTCCGCCGGTGGCATTGTTTACCAGCCAGCCTCCGCGGTAACATCCAAGCATACAATCGGAACATTTCGTATTATTACAGTGTTTTTGGTGATTTTTTTCTGGAAAATAAGTGACCATGGGCCCCAAGATAGCTTCTAGTGCCAACCCTACAGCAATAAGGGTGAGAATTACTTTGGAGATGAAGAAAAAGATCATTGATAAGTATGAAAGTGGAGTGCGTGTCTCCGAACTGGCCAGGTTGTATAATAAACCCCAATCAACCATCGCTACTATTGGTGGTACAGCTGCTGCTGCTGCTGTACCACCGTCAGCTGCTGCTGCTGCTGTAGTACCGTCTGCTGCTGCTGTAGCATCGTCTGCTGCTGCTGTAACATCGTCAGCTGCTGCTGTAGCATCGTCTGCTGCTGCTGCTGTAGCATCGTCTGCTGCTGCTGCTGCAGCATCGTCTGCTGCTGCTGCTGCTGCTGCAGCATCATCTGCTGCTGCTGCTGCAGCATCATCTGCTGCTGCTGTAACATCGTCAGTTGCTGCTGTAGCATCGTCTGCTGCTGCTGCTGTAGCATCGTCTGCTGCTGCTGCTGTAGCATCGTCTGCTGCTGCTGCTGTAGCATCGTCTGCTGCTGCTGCTGCTGTAGCATCGTCTGCTGCTGCTGCTGCTGTACCACCGTTGTTGGTGTGGCTTATTGAGAATACCAAGAAACAATTAACCCCAGAGGATTTGCCACCCAGGATAACCCAAAAAAGTCAGTGTCATCGAAGACTGTCTAACTTATTTCCATTGGGGTCCTTAATCTTGTCTCCCAGGATGCAACCCACATCAGTCGACTAACACCCAGGTGAACAGGGAAAATGCCTGGAACTAGTGCTCATATTGGTGAATTTAGAGCCAGCAAAGGTTGGTTTGAGAGATTTAAGAATCGTAGTGACATACACAGTGTGATAAGGCCTGTTCTGGAAGAAAATACCAAACAGGACCTACAGTACTCAGGAGGAAAAGGCACTCCCAGGACACAGTGTCTCATCAGTCATTGCTGCATCTTCAATAAAGGTAAGTGTCATTTATTCTTCATTTAGTAGAGTAGTACATGCACAATATATATTGTGCATGTACTACTCTACTTTTGTGCATGTATCCTTCTCTTTGTGTGTAGGAAAATGTCTATTTCATGTGGTAAAATTTTTGTTTTCATACTTTTGGGTGTCTTGCACGGATTAATTTTATTTCCATTATTTCTTATGGGGAAAATTCATTCGCATACCAAACATTTCGCATAACAACCAGCCCTCTTGCAGGGATTAAGGTCGCTATGCGGGGGTCCACTGTACTTTGCTACAACTTCTTTCTTGAATTCAATAGTGTTTCTCACTTTCTTTACCAAAGGGAACTTTCTTTGGGCCCATGGTGGCTTATTTCGCAGTCGCACTCAATAAACAACCACAAAAAACAATGGATTATAACGAAATGTTTGGATGAATGCGCGGATTGTTGCTCACTCACCCAGACACACAGCCAGACTGACTCACGAACACAGGGGAATGGTGAGCAGACATGTCAAATACGGCCAAGTTCCGAGTTGCTGGCTGAAATGCAGGACAGAATTTCAGCCGAAAAAGCAGCCGAAATCCGATTCAGCTGATATCCGGGTTTCCACTGTATATGGCTTTGGGTTTGGGATATTGGCAGTTTGGAGGGATATGTTGTATATCTTTATACGTATATGCTTCTAAACTGTTGTATTCTGAGCACCTCTGCAAAAACAGTGATAATGTGTGAGTGTGGTGAAAGTGTTGAATGATGATGAAAGTATTTTCTTTTTGGGGATTTTCTTTCTTTTTTTTTGGGTCACCCTGCCTCGGTGGGAGACGGCCGACTTGTTGAAAAAAAAAAAAAATATACAGAAAGCTAAGGGTTTGCGAACATCAAACTGGTTCTACTAAATCGTGAGTAATGAGATTTTATAACCAATAAAACATGAACATCAGGGGGGTATATTATACAGTAAACCCTCAATATAACAAACTTAAAATTATGGGTAAAATCCACTGATTAAACTGTAATTTTAACTCCTTTAATTTCAATGTTTACTAAGGTATATCTGTAAACTGTGTGTACAGTACTACATGAGATATACATGAGAGTATGTTAGTGCATTTTCTTTTTGTTTTTTTCAATTTTTTAACATTATTCTGATTTAACAGACATACAATCCCTCTCTATTAGTCTGTTATATCAAGGGTTAACTGTACTATACTGTATAAAACTTTCAAACAAACTGAACTATCTTCTTTCACTGTTACATTAAAAACCCATGTGCTAATCACATTAAATTTTTTTTTTTTTTAATTGGACAAACCTTCATTTCTTTCACACTACAGGCTTGTGATTCTATGATATTTTCATTTTCTAATTTGGCACGGTAGAGTGTTGACATTTCTTCCTGCAGCCTGTCCCGCTCGGCTGAGACGAGCATCAAACGCTTGCTCAATGATTCATTCTGGAAAAAAGAATGCATATAGTAAAATTATAAAAAAGTACAAGATAAAATCACAGTCAATCCAAGTGTAAATGTCAGGCAGCTTTATTATCTCTAAGTTACAAGGTGTGATCTGAAAACTATACTATATTTGTGGGCGAGGGGCTTGGATTTCCAGCAGGCGTGCGTGAGCGTGTTTGATAGGAGTGAATGGAGACGAATGGTATTTGGGACCTGATGATCTGTTGGAGTGTGAGCAGGGTAATATTTAGTGAAGGGATTCAGGGAAACCGGTTATTTTTATATAGCCGGACTTGAGTCCTGGAAATGGGAAGTACAATGCCTGCACTCTAAAGGAGGGGTTTGGGATATTGGCAGTTTGGAGGGATATTTTGTGTATCTTTATATGTATATGCTTCTAAACTGTTGTGTTCTGAGCACCTCTGCAAAAACAGTGATTATGCATGAGTGAGGTGAAAGAGTTGAATGATGAAAGTATTTTCTTTTTGGGGATTTTCTTTCTTTTTGGGTCACCCTGCCTCGGTGGGAGACGGCCGACTTGTTAAAAAAAAAATCTACATTTAGCTTTGATATTCAAGAATTACTTATTAGATACTAGTATTTAGGAACCTATGCAGGAGGCAAGGGGCTAGTAACCCCTTCTCTTGTATAAATTACTAAATTTAAAAAGAGAAACTTTCGTTTTTCTTTTTGGGCCACCCTGCCTTGGTGGGATATGGCCGGTTTGTTGAGAGAAAAAAAAATTAGGAATCTTGCAGCATTTCAACTACACAAGTTTGAGTTTGCTGGTTGGGCACCAGCTCCTGGATCCAGTTCTTTTCACTAGCTGATGCTATTAAAGAACAAAAAGCCACAATACTGTAAATGGAACAATACACGAATAACCTGCACATAGATTACAACGACATTTCAATCCCACTCGGACCATTTACAAAGTCGTTCTAACACAAAAAGAGTGAAGAAGCCAGTATATGTAGATGAGTTGGACAAGGACAGGAACAAGAGAGGGAGAAGACGATGTAGTGGTAGTAAGTAGTAGAAGCAATAGTGGTAGTATAAAGTAGGAAGGGTAGTTTAGTGGCACAAGAAAGGAGAGTGAAGGGAGGAAATAGTAAAGGAGAGATCCACTCTCTGACAGAAAAAAAAAAAAAAAACTCAGAATACTTGTGACTTAACCTGATCCTTTCTTCTCTTTTCCCTACTGTTCTCCTTTCCTATTTTCTCCCTTTCTTTGTTTTCCTTTCTTCTGCCTAAGTGTGTTCTGCAAGTCAGTTCCCCCCATCCCCTGCATTTTTGGTCCTACCTCTTGTGGGCCCTTAGCTCTCCTGCAGTGGTCCCTTTTTTGTCCTTAGACTGACCCAACTTCTACGTCTCCTCCTCCATTCCTACTACTTTTTCTATTCCCTCCCCTCACCCCTGACTTCCCTTTCTCTCTTGTGCTACCAAACAACTCTTCCTACTTTATACTACCACTATTTCTTCTATTACCACTTCTGCTACCTACCTTACCACTGCTTCCTCTTCTACATCTCTTGTTCTCATCCCTGTCCCACTCACCTATGTATACTGGCTTCCTCACTCTTTTCTGTTAGTGGTCCAAGTTGGACCAAAACATCAGGAGCTTCTATCTCCTATGTGCAGGTTATTTGCGTAACTTATGTCAATAATCTGTCATATCTACTTCTGAACTCTTAAGGAGTTTGCTGTCATTGTATAATTGCTCATCTCATTCCACTTTCTTTACCACTAGAGCAAAGAAATGCTTATTGATATCCCTGATGCCTATTTGTGTGTAATTTCCAACCATGCTCCCCTTCACTTGCTGCAACATTCCTGATAGAGCCAATAAGGCGTATTCTAACCAAACATCTCTGATACGCAGTATAAGGGCTATCTGAACTAAATATAGACAGTATCTCTAATAATACACCACCTCCAATAAGACTAAGTGTCAAACATCTTATCTCTTGTGCTACATATACTGCAATTTGTGTGTTGTTTGGAAGAATATTGTAAATAGACAAATCAACAATTACCTTCATGGTAAGCTCATCATTTGTCTCCTTAACTTGATTTAGAACCTTCTCCAATGAGGCATTCTCTTTCCTTAACTGGTTAGATTCTCTTCCCACCCTGAGCATCTGGAATAGTAATGCAACTTATATATATAACCCATCAGCAAGGCTTTATCAATATCTGCACAATAATTATTTAAACACTGCAAACACACAATAGAAAACAAGAAAGGTGATTCTGCAGCCTCTTGAAAGGCAGAGAATGAGAGAAAATATGTCCAAAGAATATGAATGGAAGACAGGTATAGAGGAGACATAAATAGCATGGTGAGGGTATCTAACCAAGAAAAAAAACTCAAAGCAATGGCTTCAAGTTGGATAAATTCTGATTCAGAAAGAAAAGCACTGGTTGAACACAGGAAAGCACTGGTTGAGCAGTAGAGTTGTGAGTAGAACACTCTTCTCATAAAGAGCAATTAAAGCTAACCCCTTGGATAGCTTTAAAAGTAGTAAGGTCTGGATCTGAAAGACCTGTCTAGCATGGGCCAGCAGGCTTACTGCAATGCTCCTTTGCTCTTATGTAAGAAGGCACTGATTAGCAACAGTGAGAATGGTTAAGAGTAAAACCTATCTAGCATTTGCCAGTATGCCTATGGCAGTGCTCCTCTATTCTTATTAATTTGAAAGACTACCTTTGTGTTTTAGAAGGACCAAGCTGTGCTGCTCACTTGACTTTGTTAAAGTGACTCAAAGTCCAGACAAGCTAGAAATTATTTTATTTACTGTCTTGGTATTGATGTCAGTGCCAAAGATATGTAATTAATATACAATAGCAATATTATATAATATAAGCAGTGAGTATTATCATCACAAGGTACATCTAAGAGTTCTTGGTGGATATAAAATTGGAGTGCAAGTACAGTGGACCCCCGCATAACGATTACCTCCGAATGCGACCAATTATGTAAGTGTATTTATGTAAGTGCGTTTGTACGTGTATGTTTGGGGGTCTGAAATGGACTGATCTACTTCACAATATTTCTTTTATTTTTTTTTATTATCACACCGGCCGATTCCCACCAAGGCAGGGTGGCCCGAAAAAGAAAAACTTTCACCATCATTCACTCCATCACTGTCTTGCCAGAAGGGTGCTTTACACTACAGTTTTTAAACTGCAACATTAACACCCCTCCTTCAGAGTGCAGGCACTGTACTTCCCATCTCCAGGACTCAAGTCCGGCCTGCCGGTTTCCCTGAATCCCTTCATAAATGTTACTTTGCTCACACTCCAACAGCACGTCAAGTATTAAAAACCATTTGTCTCCATTCACTCCTATCAAACACGCTCACGCATGCCTGCTGAAGTCCAAGCCCCTCGCACACAAAACCTCCTTTACCCCCTCCCTCCAACCCTTCCTAGGCCGACCCCTACCCCGCCTTCCTTCCACTACAGACTGATACACTCTTGAAGTCATTCTGTTTCGCTCCATTCTCTCTACATGTCCGAACCACCTCAACAACCCTTCCTCAGCCCTCTGGACAACAGTTTTGGTAATCCCGCACCTCCTCCTAACTTCCAAACTACAAATTCTCTGCTTTAAATATTCACACCACACATTGCCCTCAGACATGACATCTCCACTGCCTCCAGCCTTCTCCTCGCTGCAACATTCATCACCACGCTTCACACCCATATAAGAGCGTTGGTAAAACTATACTCTCATACATTCCCCTCTTTGCCTCCAAGGACAAAGTTCTTTGTCTCCACAGACTCCTAAGTGCACCACTCACTCTTTTTCCCTCATCAATTCTATGATTCACCTCATCTTTCATAGACCCATCCGCTGACACGTCCACTCCCAAATATCTGAATAACGTTCACCTCCTCCATACTCTCTCCCCCCAATCTGATATTCAATCTTTCATCACCTAATCTTTTTGTTATCCTCATAACCTTACTCTTTCCTGTATTCACCTTTAATTTTCTTCTTTTGCACACCCTACCAAATTCATCCACCAATCTCTGCAACTTCTCTTCAGAATCTCCCAAGAGCACAGTGTCATCAGCAAAGAGCAGCTGTGACAACTCCCACTTTGTGTGTGATTCTTTATCTTTTAACTCCACGCCTCTTGCCAAGACCCTCGCATTTACTTCTCTTACAACCCCATCTATAAATATATTAAACAACCACGGTGACATCACACATCCTTGTCTAAGGGCCCACTTTTACTGGGAAAAATTCCCCTCTTTCCTACATACTCTAACTTGAGCCTCACTATCCTCGTAAAAACTCTTCACTGCTTTCAGTAACCTACCTCCTACACCATACACTTGCAACATCTGCCACATTGCCCCCCTATCCACCCTGTCATACGCCTTTTCCAAATCCATAAATGCCACAAAGACCTCTTTAGCCTTATCTAAATACTGTTCACTTATATGTTTCACTGTAAACACCTGGTCCACACACCCCCTACCTTTCCTAAAGCCTCCTTGTTCATCTGCTATCCTATTCTTATGGGAACAAATTCGGTCAGTACCGGGGGTCCACTGTACTAAGATGTTAGGCCAATAAAACATTGTCATAAGTTGCTTAAATTAGGACCACAAAAATTGCTCAGCTAATCCACTTGGTAAATTGGTCCCCTCACAGCCATATATCAACATATTAAAGAGTTTAAAGGTTATCATTCATAACAACAATATTTCACAATAATCTCTTACTTGTTGGTGAATTAAATTATCTCCAGCTGTTATCTGCATCTCCAAGTCATCACGGCTTGTCCTGAGATCTTGCAAATCATTTTTTGACTTAGACAGTTCATCCTCTGGAAAAAAAAATGGTGGTAGCTTCTTGGCACCATGTCAAAATTAATTTGAGGAAGGAGAAATAGTATACATAACAGCTAAAGCTAACTCAAAACTGAAGGGGGCCTTACCCTACCTGCCCAGGTCTTTGAAAACAAATGCAGATCCATCTGGCTGTTTGGAATGCAAGAGAGATAAATAAAAATGCATCAATTTGGAAAAGGTGAAAATATTTAACATGTTATTTTGGTTATTCTGATGTGCTTGGGTGTATGGAAACAATGAAAGAATAAAAAATGGAATAATGGAAAACATCACAAAAGAACAAAGAGGTAATGGAGGAAACGAAAGGTTAAGGAATTATTACACAGCTAAGACACAGAATTACTATTACTACTAAATATTTATGTGAAATCTTCATGGGGAAGCATTACAGAATTCTTCCTCCATAATCCATGCATGTCATAAGAGGTGACTAAAATGCTAGGAGCAAGAAACTAGCCACTCCTCCTCCTGGATACATTACTAAATATAAAAGGAGAAACTTCGTTTTTCCTTAGGGCCACCCCGCCTCAGTGAGACATGGCCGGTGTGTTGAAAGAAAGAATAAGAAAAACTTGTTTTTCTTTTTAAGTCACCCTGCCTTGGTGGTATACAGCCAGTTAAAAAAAAAAACATGGGAAAGTGCTAAACTTATAGGGTCATACAGCACCTGAGGAACTGGGGTAATCAAGTTAGCAAGGGGAAAAGATAGCTCCACTTCCTTGGATAAAGAACCCCCTCACCAGCATCAAGGTATCTTTGAAAGTTCCTTATCTGTAGATAATGCCAAAATATTGAGGAAAACACAGATGAATGAAAATGGTAGAAGGGTAAAAGAGGATATGGATAGATTTAATTAATGTTTAAACAAGTGATCACTGGAGTTTAACACCAATAAAATCAAAATAACAGAAACAGAAAAAAGAAATGAGAGAGTTGCCCAAATACATTTTGTGAACTACACAGATTAACATCAACACATGTTAAGCATTCAGAAACCTAGACAGAAACTCTTTACAGTACTAAGAATGTAAAGCAGCTGGGAGTGAAGGGGTAAAGACAGAAATCTTAAAAGCAGGTGGGGATATAGATCTGGAATGGTTGGAGAGGTTGTTGAGGTAGTTCAGACATTTACAGAGCCTGGAACAAAACAGAATGACTTGGAGGGCATATAAATCTGTAGTGGAAGGAAGGCAGGGTAGGGGTCATCCTAGGAAAGATTGGAGAAAGGTGAGTAAAGGTGGTCTTCTGTGTGAGGGGGGTTTAGGCTTCCAGCGAGTGTGTTAGTTAGTTACCATTTTGTCCTAGGCACATGTCGATTAGACACTAGGCCTGTTGTAGGTGTGTAGGTGTGTGTGTGTGTGTGTGTGTGTGTGTGTGTGTGTATGTGTGTGTGTGTGTGTGTGTGTGTGTGTGAGAGAGAGTGTGAGAGAGAGAGAGTGTGAGAGAGAGTGAGTGAGAGAGTGAGTGAGTGAGAGAGAGAGTGAAGAATGAGAGTGAGTGAGAGAGTGTGAGAGTGTGAGAGAGTGAGAGTGTGAGTGTGAGAGTGTGAGTGTGAGAGTGTGAGAGTGTGAGTGTGTGAGTGTGTGAGTTTGTGTGTGTGTGTGTGTGTGTGTGTGTGTGTGTGTGTGTGTGTGTGGTGTGTGTGTGTGTGTGTGTGTGTGTGTGTGTGTGTGAGTGTGTGTGTGTGAGTGTGTGTGTGTGAGTGTGTGTGTGAGTGTGTGTGTGAGTGTGAGTGTGAGTGTGCGTGAGAGTGAGTGTGAGAGTGAGTGAGTGAGTGAGTGTGTGTGTGTGTGTGTGTGTGTGTGTGTGTGTGTGTGTGTGTGCTCACCTATTTGTGGTTGCAGGGGTCGAGTCACAGCTCCTGGCCCCGCCTCTTCACTGATTGCTACTAGGTCCTCTCTCTCCCTGCCCCATGAGCTCTATCATACCTCGCCTTAAAACTATGTATGGTTCCCGCCTTCACTACGTCACTTTCTAGGCTATTCCATGGCCTGACTACTCCTAACATCCCTTTGATTCATCTGAGTCTTCAACTTCCAATTGTGACCTCTTGTGTCTGTGTCCCCTCTCTGGAACATCCCGTCTTTGTCCACCTTGTCTATTCCGCGCAGTATTTTATATGTCGTTATCATGTCTCCCCTGACCCTCCTGTCCTCCAGTGTCGTCAGGCCGATTTCCCTCAACCTTTCTTCGTAGGACAATCCCCGTAGCTCTGGGACTAGTCTTGTTGCAAACCTTTGCACTTTCTCTAATTTCTTGACGTGCTTGACTAGGTGTGGATTCCAAACTGGTGCTGCATACTCCAGTATGGGCATGACGTAAATGGTATACAGAGTCTTAAACGAATCCTTACTGAGGTATCGGAACGCTATTCGTAGGTTTGCCAGGCGCCCGTATGCTGCAGCAATTATCTGATTGATGTGCGCCTCGGGAGATATGCTCGGTGTTATACTCACACCCAGATCTTTTTCCTTAAGTGAGGTTTGCAGTCTTTGGCCATCTAAACTATATTGTGTCTGCGGTCTTCTTTGCCCTTCCCCAATCTTCATGACTTTGCATTTGGCAGGGTTAAATTCAAGGAGCCAGTTGCTGGACCAGGCTTGTAGCCTGTCCAGGTCTCTTTGTAGTCCTGCCTGATCCTCGTCCGATTTGATTCTTCTCATTAACTTCGCATCATCTGCAAACAAGGACACTTCTGAGTCTATCCCTTCCGTTATGTCGTTCACATATACCAAGAACAGCACAGGTCCTAGGACTGACCCCTGGGGAAAACCCGTTTGTCACAGGCGCCCACTCTGACACCTCGTCGCGTACCATGACTCGTTGTTGCCTCAATGTCAGGTATTCTCTGATCCATTGCAGTGCCTTTCCTGTTATGTGTGCCTGATCCTCTAGCTTTTGCAGTAACCTCTTGTGAGGAACTGTGTCGAAGGCCTTCTTGCAGTCCAAAAATATGCAGTCGATCCACCCCTCTCTCTCTTGTCTTACTTCTGTCACCTTGTCATAAAACTCTAATAGGTTTGTGACACAGGATTTTCCTTCCCTGAAACCGTGCTGGTTGTCAATTATACACTTGTTTCTTTCCAGGTGCCCCACCACTCTCCTCCTGATGATCTTCTCCATGACCTTGCATACTATACACGTTAGTGATACAGGTCTGTAGTTTAGTGCCTCATGTCTGTCTCCCTTTTTAAAAATTGGGACTACATTTGCCATTTTCCATACTCAGGGAGTTGCCCAGTTTCAAATGATGTGTTGAAGATCTTTGTTAATGGCTCAACTCAATATCTCTGCTCCCTCTTTAAGGACCCATGGAGAGATGTTGTCTGGTCCCACCGCCTTTGAGGTGTCAAGTTCGCATAGCAGCTTCTTCACCTCCTCCTTGGTTATATGTACCTCATCCAGCACTTGCTGGTGTACCCCCTGTTCTGATTTCCTGGAGTCCTACTGGTTTCCACTGTAAATACCTCTTTAAATCTTGTTGAGCTCCTGACATATCTCTTGGTCGTTTCTTGTGAATTCCCCATCACCCTTCCTCAGTCTGATTACCTGGTCCTTGACTGTTGTTTTCCTCCTGATGTGGCTGTACAACAGCTTCGGTCAGTCTTTACTTTTGATGCTATGTCATTTTCATATTGTCTCTGAGCCTCCCTTCTTATCTGTGCATATTCGTTTCTGGCTCTTCGGCTGATTTCTTTATTTTCCTGAGTTCTCTGTCTTCTGTACCTTTTCCATTCTCTAGTACACCTAGTTTTTGCCTCCCTACACCTTTGGGTGAACCAAGGACTCGTTCTGTTCTTCCCATTATTTCTGTTTCCCTTGGGAAACAAACCTCTCCTCTGCCTCCTTGCATTTTGTTGCTACATAGTCCATCATTTCTTGTACTGGTTTTCCTGTCAGTTCCCTCTCCCACTCAATGTCTTGAAGAAGTTCCTCATGCCTGAGTAGTTCCCCCTTTTGTAGTTTGGTTTTTCCCAGCCTATTCCTGCTACTCTCTCCACTTGGAGCTCAACTATGTAGTCGAAGCACAGAACCACATGATCACTAGCTCCCAGGGGCCTTTCATACATGATACCCTCGATGTCCGAACTACTCATGGTGAATACAAGGTCCAGCCTTGCTGGTTCATCCTCTCCTCTCTCTCTGGTAGTGTCTCTAACATGTTGATGCATGAGGTTTTCCAGTACCACATCCATCATCTTGGCTCTCCATGTTTTGGGACCCCCATGGGGCTCCAGGTTTTCCCAGTCAATCTACTTGTGATTGAAATCACCCATAACTAGTAACTTTGCTCCCCCCACGTGTGCTCTCCTGGCCACCTCAGCTAGTGTGTCGATCATTGCTCTGTTGCTCTCATCATATTCTTCTATTGGCCTCCTGCAGTTCTGTGGTGGGTTGTACATTACTGCAATTATCACCTTATGTCCCACAGACTGGATTGTTCCTACTAAGTAGTCCCTTTTGCCCGTGCCATCCATTCCTTCCATTTTCTCAAAATCCCACTGGTTTTTAATGAGCAGTGCAACTCCTCCTCCCCCTCTCCTCCCTCTGTCTTTCCTGAGGATTTGGTATCCGGATGTAAAGATTGAATCTGTTATTATTCTGGTGAGTTTTGTTTCTGTGAGTGCTATTATGTCTGGGGATGTCTCTTTGATTCTTATGTGCCACTCCTCATACTTGTTTGTTATTCCATCTGCATTTGTATACCACACCTTCAACTTCTTTTCTAAGACCGTAGTCTGGGAGGTATATTGGGGTTGGGGAAGTGGGAGACCTGGTAAGGAACCATGGGTTGTTGCTGTGGGGGTGGAGTTTGTAATGTAGTGGGTGGGGGCATTGGATGTGGCATGGGTGTTTTGGTTTAGAGTGTTTGGTTGCACTGGGGTTGACCTGGTTGGGAGGCTTCTATAGGAAGTTTTGTGTGTGTGTGTGTGTGTGTGTGTGTGTGTGTGTGTGTGTGTGTGTGTGTGTGTGTTTGTTTGTTTGTTTGTTTGTTTGTGTTTGTTTTAGATAGGAGCAAGTGAAGACAAATGTTTTTTCTTACTCGAGTGCTGTTGGAGTGTGAGCAAAGCAACATTAATGAAGGGATTCGGGGCAACTAGCTAGCCAGATCTGAATCCTGGAAGTGGAAAGTACAGTGTCTGTGCCCTGAGGGAGGGGTGGATATGTTGCAGTTTTTTAACTGTAGTGTAAGCACGCCTCTGGCAAGACAGTGGAGTGAATGAAGTTGAAAGTGTTTCTTCTTTTTTGGGTCACACTGCCTTGGTGGGAAATGGTCAATATGTTAATAGGAAAAAAAAAAAATACTAAGAATGTGCAGCAAAGTGTTTATATGTGGCACCAGAATGTAACTGTCACAGTCAAAAGCAGAGTTCAAGTAAGTCCATGAGAGTGTACAGAGATTATAGCCTGAGCTATGAGGAAAACAATGCTACGTCTCCTGTCTTTGGAGGCATAAAACAGGAGAAGATCATGCTCAATAATAATAATAATCATTTTTTTTTCCAACATACTGGCCATCTCTTACTTAGGCAGTGAGACCCAAAAAAGAAGAAAACTACAGAGTTTACCTTCTTTTAAGATTAAGTAATTTAAACAAGAGAAGGGGTTAGTAGCCCCTTGCTCCCAGCATTTTATTCATCTCTTGTGGCATGCATGGCTTATGGTGGAAAGAATAATAAAAGGTGGGTGGTGCATTGAGGCCTCTCAAGAGACAAAACTTGATGTACCCAAGAAAGCAAAATGGAGAATGTACCAGAGTATAGTAGTAGCAACACTGTTGTATGGGTGTGAAGCATATGTTTTGAATGTTACAGTGAGGAGATGGTTGAAGGCAGAAGAAATATCACATTTGAGGGTAATGTGTAGTGTCAAGCTTATACAGAGAATACAGAGTTAGGAGATTAGGAGGCATAGGGTTACCAAAAGTATTATTCAGAGTTGAGGAGGGGTTGTTAAAGTGGTTTGAGCACTTAAAGATGGCAAAAAATAGAATGACTAGGAGAGTGTATAAATCTGGGGGTGGAGGGAAGGAGGGATAGGGGTTATTCTAGGAAATGTTGGAGGGAGAAGGTAAAAGTAGTTTCAAGTCCTAGGGGCTTCAACATCCAACAAGCTTGTGTGTATGAGTGTTGGATAGGATTTTTTAACGATTTGACGAGCTGTTGGAGTGTCAATAAGGTAACATTTATGAAGGGATTTAGGTAAACTGGTTTGCCAGACTTGAGTCCTGGAGGTGGAAAGTACAGTGCCTGCACTCTGAAGGAGGGGTGGGGGATATTGCAGCTTGGAATGTCATCTGAACTGTTATGTCAGCACCATTCTGGCAACAGTGATTGAATGAGTAACGAGGCAGATGAGATGTCATGGTTGAGGGCTATGTATTGTGTGAACATTATGAAGAGAATTTGGAGCATTGAAATTAAATGATACAGGGTCATCAAAAGCATAATTCAGGGAGCAGAGGATTTTTGGGGGGAAATCTAGAGGATAAAACATGAATAAGATGACTAAGAAGTTATAAAAATTTGGGGTGGTAAAAGGAGTAGGAGTCATCCAAAGAAGGGTTGAAGGGAGAGGGTACAGGTGGTTTTGAGTGTTAGGGACTTCAGCATCTGAGCCCGTTAGATCAGAGTAGAGACAGTGACTTTTATGATTAGAATATCGAAAGAATGCAAGTGAAATATAGGAGAGGCCTGGAGACATGACTAATGAACAGAAGAAATGTTTTAATTCCAGAAACGTCTACATTTTTTATTTTATGGACTATTTTTAAATTGGTATTTTTTTAAATTTTCTATAAAACTGGCCAAATTACTGAATTCTGTGCACTTTACAGGATAGTCAAAATAATTGAAGGGGCAGTTTCCTGTTATCAATCAATAGAATGGAAGGCAAACTAGCAAAATAGCTACTCTCAGCTCATTCATACCCTCAAACTTGTCCTCATTAGTACAATTTAAAGGATACTTTATATATTTACCTTTTAATGACTCAAGATTAACTATAATTAATGATTCGAGATTAATGATTTGAGATTAACCCTTTCAGGGTTGGTGCCATACTATAGTGTATGACTTGCACGCCATGGTTGGTGCCGTACTAGTACTCAAATTCTGGCGCCTTCAAATCTAGCGAGAGAAAGCTGGTAGGCCTACATATGAAAGAATGGGTCTATGTTGTCAGTGTGCGCAGTACAAAAAAATCCTGCAGCACAGTGCATGAAAAAAAAAAACTCCGACCATGTTTTTGGTTTAAAACTGCGACTTTGCACTGTATTTTCGTATGCTATTTATGGTTGTATTCTAGTTTTCCTGGTCTCATTTTATAGAATGGAAGACATATTATGGAAATTGAGATGATTTTGATTGGTTTCACAATGAAAAGTACCTTGAAACTGAGCTCAAAGTAGCAGAAATGTTCAATTTTTGCCAAAGTTCAAAGGTAAATAAATCATGCCATGCGTCCAATACATGTCAACTGGTGAGTCTAATATTCTTTCACAAGTGCGCTGATATTATTTATACCATTTCTACACTAATGCAGTAGTCTGCATAACAGTGAATCTTCTATTTTTTGAGAATAAAAATTCAAAGTGGAAAGCAAAAGAAATGTAAGAGAGGCCTGGGGACATGAGTAATGAACAGACGAAATGTTATTTTAGTGCCAGGAATGTGTCTTGTTTATTCTGGACCCTATATGGAAATTGGCATCTTTTGAAATTTGTGTGAAACTCGCAAAATTGTCAATTTCTGACCACGTTATTGGATAGTTGAAATTGGTAAATGGGTGGTTTTTTGTACTCATTCGATAGAAAAAATGGAGTTCTTACGAAATAGGTATGATTTTTGGAATTGGCCGAAAATAGGGCTCAAAGTGGGCGAAATCGCCAATGTGTAAACATCATCGAGACCGCTAACTTCGCGAGAGCATAATTCCGTAAGTTTTCCATCAAATTTCATACTTTTGGTGTCAGTATGATAAGGAAAAGATTCTCAATCATTTCATAAAAAATATTTTTTTTTTTTTTTTTGAAAAATTTCTGACCCTGAGAACAAGTTTAGGAGAGGGCCTGCCGACCCTGAAAGGGTTAATTATAATGATTCGAGATTAATTATAATTAATGACTAAAGATTAATTACAATTATTTATCAACACAATCAATTGAAGTTCACAAGATTAAATAAATTATAGATATTAAAGGCAACTGGAATAGATTAAAGAATACATAACTACCACTTACTTAATTTATTTATCTTCTTGTGAGAAGTTTGCAAAGTTACATCCATCTCCTCTCTTTCATTCTCCATGCGATGGATTTCCTGTTGCAACTTCTTCACTTCTCGAGTCTTAGCATTTAGTAGTTTTTGAATGCGGAAGGGTGGACTCTAAAGAAGAAAATACTGTTACTAGATTCTATCACTTTCTAGTGTATACCTAAATAATCAGACAATGTATTTTTGGTTTACATTCTAAGCTAGTGGTGAAAGTGTCCAAGGGGCACTCTCACTAAGCACTAGTGTATTCTGATACTCAAAATGCTTTTTCTATTTAACCCTTTGACTATTTTGGTCGTACATATACGTCTTATGAGCCAGTGTTTCGGATGTATATATACTCAATGATTCTAGCGGCTTCAAATCAAGCAGGAGAAAGCTGGTAGGCCCACATGCGAGAGAATGGGTCTGTGTGGTCAGTGTGCACCACATAAAAAAAATCCTGCAGCACGCAGTGCATAATGAGATAAAACAATTGACTTTTTTTTGGGGGGGGGGGATTAAAACACCGACTTTGAGGTGTATTTTCGTATAGTATTTATCATTGTATTCTCGTTTTCATGGTCTCACGTGATAAAATGAAAAACATATTGCAGAAATAGAGATGATTTTGATTAGTTTCACGATGAAAACAACCTTGAAATTGAGCTCAAAGTAGCGGAAATGTTCAATTTTTACCAATGTTCAAGAGTAAGCAAATCACACCACACATCCAATACACGTCAACTGGGGTGTCTAATATTCTTTCACTAGTGCACTGATATTATTTATACCACTTTTACAATAATGCAGTAGTCTGCATAACAGTAAATTTTGTATTTTTTTGTATGGATAAAAAATAAAAATAGAAAGCGATAGTAATATAAAAGGGGCCTAGAGACATGACTAATGAACAGAGGATATGTTATTTTAGTGCCAAGAATGTCTACATTGTTTATTCTGGACCCTATTTTGAAACTGGCATCTTTTTTAATTTGCATGAAATTGGCCAAATTGCCAATTTCTGACCACTTTATTGGGTAGTTCAAATCGGTAAATGGGCGGTTTCTTGTACTCAATTGATAGTAAAAATGGAGTTCTAAAGAAATAGCCATGAGTTTGGTCAACTGGAACAACGGAATTGGCCAAAAACAGGACTCAAAGTTGGCGAAATCGTCAATGAGTATATGTCGCCGAGACCGCTAACTTCACGGGAGCGTAATTCCGTGAGTTTTTGACCAAATTTCGTACTTTTGGTGTCATTACCATCGGGAAAAGATTGTCTATCACTTCATAAGAAAAAATAATTTTTTTTTTTCCAAAAATTTTGCGACATAGAATGACAGTTTCAGAAAGGGGCTTGCGACAGTCAAAGGGTTAAACAAAATTTAAGAGAAATTTCACAGATTCTTATCTTTTCTACCATTAGCCAAATGCCAGAAATGGGACAGATTTTAGGATTTCTGAGGAATAGTTCTGATTTTTCTTTGCCTTGCTTAACAGCAAAAGCTGTTGAGAACTAGGTATTTTTTTCAAGATGGCAAAGTGAGCTTAAGTAGTTCTCCCTCTTAGTTTGTTCTGACCTGTGAAAATACATACCTGTAAGGATGATTGCTTCATATCAGTACAACACAAGCTTTTACTAAAAGTCTGAGGTGATTCTTAAAATACCTAACACTAAAATGTATTTGATATGCCTCAATTTCTCCATGTGGCATCCTTTACAACTGTGGGTGTTTAAGAAAGAAATAAGGCATCAAATATTCTGATAGAGATATACAGTATTAGGTAAAACAGATGAACTGAAGAACTTCTACAAAAAATGAGGATACATTCCTGGGAGCCCCCAAAAAGCTAAACAACTTTTTTTTTTTAGATCAAGAGATCTTGCAAAAATAAAAGTGAATATGTAATTGTAGTTCATTGTTGTAATGTATTATGTTGTTTTCAATGCTTAAGATTACAAATGCAAAGAAATAATAATATTTCTTACCTTAAATTGTGGGTACTGGGGTTTGTGCATGATTGTGGGTACTGGGGTTTGTGCATGATTGTGGGTACTGGGGTTTGTGCATGATTGTGGAGAGTGGAGAGTTATTGCGTGGCCCTACTGGGCTAAGGTGGATGGTAGAGGTTCTGGTACTAAAGTTGATGGTTGTACTACAGTGTGCATAAATTCTGTAATGAATTTCTGCTCTATTTTACCCAGCAGTACATCATACAACTGACGGTAAGGCATCAGCTGCTCTAGACACCGTTTCAGGGACCTCTTCAGTGAAAAAGTCTAACTTCAAGTCAGTCAAATCAGTACGTCAGTCAGTCAAGTTAGTAATACAGTAATTAAGTCAGTCAATCAGTAAATCAATCAGTAAGTCAGTCAGCAAATCAATCAGTAAGTCATCACACAAACTCATATTTACCTCATTCTTATATGCTGACCCACAACAAGGCAGCAGCTTGAGCTGGGGAATTTTTTTCCACACCCACAAAAGGAACTATGTAAAGTTAATTTTATGAAGTGTTGTATAAAACTGTGCCGCAATTTTTCACTCGTGCTATAACCAAATTGTGCCAAATAAGCTCGAGTCAAATGACGGTCTACTGTACATCTCAAACATACCTGAATAAGTTCTCTAAGAGGAGATGATGATGTTCTGGGAGAATTGGTGTAAACATTTGGAGAAGCACAGGAAACAGCACCAACTGGGGTCTGACATTGTACTAGCAATTTACCCTCTGAAAAATGTGTAAAACAATTACAGGTCTCAATTTCACACTCATTTGGCAGGATAGTAGTACTCTTTTCAGAAGGACCATGAACAATAGGACACTGAGTCATACTATGACAATAAAAAATACTTCAGCAAAGTATGTGAACATCTTTAACAATGACCACCAGCAGAACCTAACTTAATACTTGGGATTCAAAAAATAAATATGGCAAAGGGTGAAAAACTTCTCAAAACTGGTCACAGATAAAACAACAATCGGTTGAAAGCTAAGAAGTAGAAGCACTATGAAATTTCATTGCATAACAGCATACAAATTTTACCATCTGAAGGTCAATACCTTGGTCCAGGCATGACTAACTTCTCTTAAATTTTAAGTACAGACTGTAAAAGAAGCACAGTACCTAACAGAGTAATAATAAACACTCACCTAACTTCTCTGAACATAAAATGTCCAAGAACTTGGTGCTCATCCCAGAGCCTCTCTTCTGGATAGATTCGATAAGGTACTTCAGCTGGAAAACACTAAGTATCAAACTTTTTTGTTACAAAAAAAAAAAAAAATGTTAAACACAAAACAACATACAAATTTACTGTTACATGTTCAACATAAAATGTTCAAAATAATTTTAATTGCTGAAAATATGCTAGCACACTCAGTTCACACACTGATGTCTGTGGTTCGATCCCCAGTATGGATGGAAACATTAGGCTTTGTTTCCTTAAGACACCTGTTGCACTTATTCACCTGAGTGTTAGCTGGCTGGTGTGGGTCGCATCCTGAGGACAAAAATAACCTAATTTACCCAAAATGCTCTGCATAGTAAGGGGTTTTCTATATAGTACTACATCACCGATGTCCAGTTAGACCTGTATATGTTGTACAAATACTTGTAGAAATAAAGATCACTATTTTTTTTTTAACACATCGGCCTTTCCCACTGAGGCAGGGCGACCCAAAAAGAAAGAAAACCCCAAAATGAAAGAAAAATACTCTAATCATCATTCAACACTTTCAACATCACTCATACATAATCCTGTGTCACAAACCTACTGGAGTTTCAAGACAAGGTGACAGAAGTAAGAAAAGAGAGAGGGAGGGGCAGACTGCATTTTCTTGGACTGCAAGAAGGCCTTCGACACAGTTCCTCAAAAGAGGTGACTGCAAAAGCTAGAGAATCAGGCACACACAACAGGAAAGGCACTGCAATGGATCAGAGAATACCTGACAGGGAGGCAACAATGAGTCGTGGTACGTGACAAGGTGTCAGAGTGGGCGCCTGTGACAAGCGGGGTTCCACAGGGGTCTGTCCTAGAACTTGTGCTGTTTTTGGTATATGTGAATGACATAATGGAAGGGATAGACTCAGAAGAGTCCTTGTTTGCAGATGATGTGAAGTTAATGAGGAGAATAAAACCGGTCGAGGATCAGGCAGGACTACAAATAGACCTGGACAGGCTACAAGCCTGGTCCAGCAACTGGCTCCTTGAGTTTAACCCTGCCAAATGCAGTCACAAAGACTGTGGAAGGGCAAAGAAGACCGCAGACACAGTATTGTCTAGTTGGCCGAAGACTGCAAACCTCACTCAAGAAAAAAGATCTGGGGGTGAGTATAACACCGAGCACATCTCCTGAGGCGCACATCAATCAGAAAACTGCTGCGGCGTACGGGCGTCTGGCAAACCTAAGGATAGCATTCCGATACTGTTATATCTTCGAAATTGGTCATCCTGTGTTATTTAACTGTTGTAAGAGAATATGTTCATCACTTAATATTATAGCGCGAAACTCCCCGTTTATAGCTAAAATAGAGACTTTCGGCGTTATATTATTATCTGTTAATATATGAAAAATACCATGGTATTATCGCTATTATCGTTATTATCACTATTATCGCTATTATCACTATTATCGCTATTATCACTATTATCGCTATTACCACTATTATCGCTATTATCACTATTATCGTTATTATCACTATTATCACTTTTTTTATTTTTTTTTATTTTTTTTTTTATTATCACACCGGCCGATTCCCACCAAGGCAGGGTGGCCCGAAAAAGAAAAACTTTCACCATCATTCACTCCATCACTGTCTTGCCAGAAGGGTGCTTTACACTACAGTTTTTAAACTGCAACATTAACACCCCTCCTTCAGAGTGCAGGCACTGTACTTCCCATCTCCAGGACTCAAGTCCGGCCTGCCGGTTTCCCTGAATCCCTTCATAAATTTTTACTTTGCTCACACTCCAACAGCACGTCAAGTATTTAAAAAAAACCATTTGTCTCCATTCACTCCTATCAAACACGCTCACGCATGCCTGCTGGAAGTCCAAGCCCCTCGCACACAAAACCTCCTTTAACCCCCCCTCCCTCCAACCCTTCCTAGGCCGACCCTACCCCGCCTTCCTTCCACTACAGACTGATACACTCTTGAAGTCATTCTGTTTCGCTCCCATTCTCACTACATGTCCGAACCACCTCAACAACCCTTCCTCAGCCTCTGGACAACAGTTTTTGGTAAATCCCCGCACCTCCTCCTAACTTTCCCAAAATACGAATTCTCTGCATTATAATTCACACCACACACTGCCCTCAAAACATGACATCTCCACTGCCTCCAGCCTTCTCCTCGCTGCAACATTCATCACCCACGCTTCACACCCATATAAGAGCGTGGTAAAACTATACTCTCATACATTCCCCTCTTTTCCTCCAAGACAAAGTTCTTTGTTTCCACAGACTCCCCAAGTGCACCACTCACTCTTTTTCCCTCATCAATTCTATGATTCACCTCATCTTTCATAGACCCATCCCCCTGACACTCCACTCCCAAATATCTGAATACGTTCACTCCTCCATACTCTCTCCCTCCAATCTGATATTCAATCTTTCATCACCTAATCTTTTTGTTATCCTCATAACCTTACTCTTTCCTGTATTCACCTTTAATTTTTTTCTTTTGCACACCCTACCAAAATTTATCCACCAATCTCTGCAACTTCTCTTCAAATCTCCCAAGAGCACAGTGTCATCAGCAAAGAGCACCTGTGACAACTCCCACTTTGTGTGTGATTCTTTATCTTTTAACTCACGCCCTTGCCAAAACCCTCGCATTTACTTCTCTTACAACCCCATCTATAAATATATTAAACAACCACGGTGACATCACACTCCTTGTCTAAGGCCTACTTTTACTGGGGAAAAATTTCCCTCTTTCCTACATACTCTAACTTTAGCCTCACTATCCTCGTAAAAACTCTCACTGCTTTCAGTAACCTACCTCCTACACCATACACTTGCAACATCTGCCACATTGCCCCCCTATCCACCCTGTCATACGCCTTTTCCAAATCCATAAATGCCACAAAGACCCCTTTAGCCTTATCTAAATACTGTTCACTTTTTAGTTTCACTGTAAACACCTGGTCCCCCACACCCCCTACCTTTTCCCAAAGCCTCCTTGTTTTATCTGCTATCCTATTCTCCGTCTTACTCTTAATTCTTTCAATTATAACTCTACCATACACTTTACCAGGGACCACTCAACAGACTTTTCCCCCTATTTAAATTTTTGCACTCTCTTTTATCCCCTTTGCCTTTATACAAAGGAACTATGCATGCTCTCTGCCAATCCCTAGGTACCTTACCCTCTTCCATACATTTATTAAATAATTTGCACCAACCACTCCAAAACTATATCCCCACCTGCTTTTAACATTTCTATCTTTATCCCATCAATCCCGGCTGCCTTCCCCCCCTTTTCATTTTACCTACTGCCTCACGAACTTCCCCCACACTCACAACTGGCTCTTCCTCACTCCTACAAGATGTTATTCCTCCTTGCCCTATACACGAAATCACAGCTTCCCTATCTTCAATCAACATTTAACAATTCCTCAAAATATTCCTTCCATCTTCCCAATACCTCTAACTCTCCATTTAAAAACTCTCCCTCTCCTATTTTAACTGACAAATCCATTTGTTCTCTAGGCTTTCTAACTTGTTAATCTCACTCCAAAACTTTTTCTTATTTTCAACAAAATTTGTTGATAACATCTCACCCACTCTCTCATTTGCTCTCTTTTTTACATTGCTTCACCACTCTCTTAACTTCTCTCTTTTTCTCCATATACTCTTCCCTCCTTGCATCACTTCTACTTTGTAAAAACTTTTCATATGCTAACTTTTTCTCCCTTACTACTCTCTTTACATCATCATTCCACCAATCGCTCCTCTTCCCTCCTGCACCCACTTTCCTGTAACCACAAACTTCTGCTGAACACTCTAACACTACATTTTTAACCTACCCCATACCTCTTCGACCCCATTGCCTATGCTCTCATTAGCCCATCTATCCTCCAATAGCTGTTTATATCTTACCCTAACTGCCTCCTCTTTTAGTTTATAAACCTTCACCTCTCTCTTCCTGATGCTTCTATTCTCCTTGTATCCCATCTACCTTTTACTCTCAGTATAGCTACAACTAGAAAGTGATCTGATATATCTGTGGCCCCTCTATAAACATGTACATCCTGAAGTCTACTCAACAGTCTTTTATCTACCAATACATAATCCAACAAACAAACTGTCATTTCGCCCTACATCATATCGTGTATACTTATTATCCTCTTTTCTTTAAAATATGTATTACCTATAACTAAACCCCTTTCTATACAAAGTTCAATCAAAGGGCTCCCATTATCATTTACACCTGGCACCCCAAACTTACCTACCACACCCTCTCTAAAAGTTTCTCCTACTTTAGCATTCAAGTCCCCTACCACAATTACTCTCTCACTTGGTTCAAAGGCTCCTATACATTCACTTAACATCTCCCAAAATCTCTCTCTCTCCTCTGCATTCCTCTCTTCTCCAGGTGCATACACGCTTATTATGACCCACTTCTCGCATCCAACCTTTACTTTAATCCACATAATTCTTGAATTTACACATTCATATTATTATTTCATATTTTAAATTTTATATTATTTTCATATTTATTTCATATTATTATTTTATTATCACACTGGCGATTCCCACCAAGGCAGGGTGGCCCGAAAAAGAAAAACTTTCACCATCATTCACTCCATCACTGTCTTGCCAGAAGGGTGCTTTACACTACAGTTTTTAAACTGCAACATTAACACCCTCCTTCAGAGTGCAGGCACTGTACTTCCCATCTCCAGGACTCAAGTCCGGCCTGCCGGTTTCCCTGAACCCCTTCATAAATGTTACTTTGCTCATACTCCAACAGCACGTCAAGTATTAAAAAACCATTTGTCTCCATTCACTCCTATCAAACACGCTCACGCACGCCTGCTGGAAGTCCAAGCCCCTCGCACAAAAAACCCTCCTTTACCCCCTCCCTCCAACCTTTCCTAGGCCGACCCCTCCCCCGCCTTCCTTCCACTACAGACTGATACACTTTTTGAAGTCATTCTGTTTCGCTCCATTCTCTCTACATGTCCGAACCACCTCAACAACCCTTCCTCAGCCCTCTGGACAACAGTT